TCGCCCAGCGACTTTCAACGTCTACCTGACGAAGGAATCCAGGCCCTGTGCGATTTGTTCCTGCTCATAGAACAGGGATTGTCATGGCCTTGGCAAAGTCTCTGTATTGTGGGTAAATTGTTAGGGAAAAAATCTGGCGGCGATCGAGTCATAGGATTGATCGCGACGCTGGCCAGAGTCTGGTCCATGGCGCGCGAGGTGGAGATGAAGGAGTGGTCCATCGAGCAGGCTGAAGAGGATCACTGGGACGCGGCCGTCGCAGGGAACAGCGCCCTGCGGGAAGCGCTCGTGCGGGCACTGGAGGATGAGGTCCACGCGCGGCTGCAGATCCCGAGCGGTCACACGTTGTGGGATCTCGCGTCCTTCTACGATTCCATAGAGTTCGAGCCCCTCGCAGAGTGCGCTCTGGAAAAAAGGGCTTCCGCCAGTTATTTTATTCTTAGAACTACAGCTGTGTCTGGCACCTCGCATGTTGGAACAACTCAATTGTTTTTTTTTCAGAACCGTTCGAGGTGACACGGTCTGTGGTGCAGGGTCTACGGAACGGCACGAGGTTCGCCAAATGCATCACGGCGAATACGTGTCGGCGACTTTGCAATTCTTTTGGATCCCTTCGGCAACGTATCTGGATTGGCGATTTATCGCAAAGAGTGTCAGGGTCACGTGCTCATGTTAGGACGACTTTGATCAGAGGTGGCATTCAGACCGCCAAGGATTTCCAGAGACTTCATCTTGGCCTGGCGGACAAGAGCATCATCACTTGTTCGCATCATGCCGACGCAATCGCTGTTGCGAGGGCTTTGAAGCGCAAGGGCATCCACCTGCGCGCAGCTCTCCAGACGGCATATCTTGGGGTCGACCTCAGCAGTGGACGACGTCAAGGTCGAGCTACAGTACGGCAGCGGCAGCTGAAGTCGGGGCAGTCGCACGCTCGGCTACGGCGCTTCGCTCAAGCTGCTCGGCGCTGGCATGCGTCGGGCAAGCTGCAACGGGCTGGACCGCAAGCTGCAGCTGTCTATGGACATCAAGTCCACGGCCAATTCGGGTCGACGATGTTGGCCCAGCGTCGTCGGCTAGGAGCGGCTGCAGGATCGTCGAGGCGAGGGAGATGTTTGACGACGTTACTCTCACTTCGGCTGCCAGGGTGCGACCCAGGCCACCTGCTGCCCAAGCAATGTATTTCTCAATGGTTGAGTGCGTGGCTATCGGAGGTTGGGCTACGACGTTCTATCCAACTGGCCTGGCCTCGTGCGGTGGCGCACCTACGCTCTCTCCCCCAGGGCCAGCGCACACGGCACGTGCGCGGCCCCATGACCACGGTGATCCTTTATTTGCTTGAAGCAAGATGGTCGCCTAACTCTCCCACGGGCTGGGACGTGCCAAATGACGGCACCGCTGAAGTTCACGCCTGGCAGTTCGACAGTAGTGACTTTGAGGTGCTGGAACAGGCAGCCCCGTTGCTGGCGGAGTTTGAGCGCACATACGAGCTGAAGCAGTGGAAGGAAGCGTCGGCTTGTTCTGCGGAGGCGGCCTTGAAGGAGGTGCTGACATGACCTCCTTGAGAGCCATGGTTGCAGATTTGTTGCACGCCCGCAAGGGCCGTCAGTTGTCCGAGCTGTTGGTGACGGTGGCGACTGGAGGCTGGTGGCCGAAGGTACGTAGTCACGAGGCGGGACTTCGAGCTGACGATCTGTGCGACCGTTGTGGCACGGAGCAAGACACACCTCTGCACAGATGTTGGACATGCTCAAAGAATCAGGGTTCGCGTGCTTTTGATGAGTCTAACGACTTACTCCCGCAGGCAGTGGCCGAGGCGGAAGCGTTTCCTTGTTTTTGGATGCGAGGGCTCATTCCCTCCGCCTGGACCTCCATTTCTCCTCCCCCTTCTGTCGAGCTGATTTCTGGAGGCTGTCTCGGGAATGACGGTCTCGGGGACGGCTGTTTAGGCACGGGGACTGCTTCGGAGCCTCTGGTGATCTTCGGAGACGCGTCTGGGGGTCGTGACACTCTCGACACCAGGCTCAGGAGGGTAGGTATAGGGCTCGCCACTTTTACTAGTTACAATCCTTTGGCCCTGGGGCCTTTCTTGCTGGGGCCCCTCACGGGAACGGCACAGAGCGTTCCAAGAGGTGAACTCAGGGCTTTTGAATGGGCCTTGCGTTTCAGTGTAGGTGAAATGTTATATGTCACTGACTGTGACGAAGTTGCCCGCGGGTGGTACGCCGAGCTGTTTCGCAGGCCTCAAGGCCCACAATCCGACATATGGCGTGAAATTGGTAAATTACTAACCTCGCAGGGTCGATCTCCAGCGTGTATAGTTGTCGCTCAGATCCCGTCTCATCTGTCTGGAGCTGATGTTCTGGCACGAGGTCTTCCCTCGTGGCTAGTGCTAGGCAACTCGTGTGTAGATGCTATTGCAGGGGAGGCCGCGAAGCTTGCGCGGGTCTCCCCTCAGGAACGTCACAAAATCCAAGAGGTGGAGCAGCGTGCTCGCCTTGTTCGGAAGAGGTTGCTGCGTGTCGGCTTAGACTCCATTCGAGCGTCCCAGCTGTCTGGACACCAGAGAGTGCGGGGTGCTGGTAGAGTTCCTCCTCCCCCCCCTCTTGCTATTGCACGCTTCGCGTCCGCACATACCCTGACCGAAAGTGGGAGGGCGTGCAGTGTGTGTAAAGGCTCCGCGACTAAGGCGGTGGTGTCCGAATGGTTAAAAAGTGAGTGCTTCCATCTCCAGCATGTGAACGGTGAGCTTAGTCGAGTTCCTAAGGGGCGGCGTTTACACTTAGCTGGTGGCTGGACTCACCCCTCACACGCCTTGACCTATCATAAAGACCTTAAAATTTGGTTTTGCCGCACATGTGGGTTCTTCGGCCAGGCCCAGCTCAGAGGCCTGGGGGAACCGTGCAAGCTTCCAATTTCTAAGGCCAGGCGCGAATACCTTGACAGGATTGATCGTGGCCTGTTTCCGAAGTGCTGAGCACTCAAGCCTGGTTATCACTACGTGATGGCGGAAATCCTGGAAATCCTCCTCCTCCCCCTCCTCCTCCTCCTCCTCCCCCTCCTCCTCCTCCTCCTCCTCCTCCTCCTCCTCCTCCTCCAGAGCAATGGCGAACAAGTAAGAGCCCCCGAGTGCAAGCAATGGTTGGGGAATCAATCCTCGGGGGCAAACAAACCTACCTCGTTTTTGACCACCCTCGCTTCCAAGAGATACCAAACGATGCCAAATTACGGCCTGCGCTGGTCAGGCCGCTTGACGAGGAGGCGCGTGGCATGACTTGGCTCTGCCTGGAAGCGAAAGCGGGGTAGGTAGTTCACGCTTTGATTTTCCCTCTCTCACGGCCCGACGGTCATCGGGCGCGCTGCCCAATACCTGTCACGCACGCACTCCAGTTCTCCGGCCCTCCTCGGGAAGGGCCAAGAGGGGGGTGTCCAAGAAGGGGGGGGTGCAAATCATGATCGGCGGCACGTGCGCGGCCCAGCGGGGGGGCCAGGGACGTAATGAAGTAAGAAGAGGCGCCATGAAATCTGGGGACATATCATGGCCCCCGCCATGAGATCCCCCCCCCTAGTCATCACCCCCCTCTCTGCCGCCCTCCAGCCCTCTCGCGCGGGCGCGTGCGGGCATCTCTCCCGCAGCCCGGGCACAGTGACCGGGAGCAGGCACGCCCCTCCGCCACCCCTCGAGCGGGGCGCCTCCTCCTCCTCCTCCTCCTCCTCCTCCTCCTCCTCTCCCTTCTCCTCCTCCTCCTCCTCCTCCTCCTCCTCCTCCTCCTCCTCCTCCGGCCCGAGGCAGCGGCCCCTCCAGGGGGGGGGAGGGGTCTGCCGGCCGAGACCAGCTCCTCATTCTCCCGCTCCGCCACCTTCTCGCGGCGGCAAGCAGCTACCAGCGAACACTGCCTTGCGGTCAGCGATCTCCGTCAAAACAGCCACATGCGTTAAAGCAGGAATATCGCTAAGAACTAAATCTAAAGAACAATTGCCTCTCGTAGGTTGCTTTGTGCACTCACGGAAGCCATTCGCGCGGCACCACTGGTGATGAGCAGAGCCTTCAGGAGAAATATCCCGGCTATGGCGCAACCCCTGCCGCGCCCCCGAGCATGTCCGTAGGGTGGGCCCTGCGTGTCGCCCCTGACTTCCTCACCGTCTGTGATCCTGAACATTCGCATGTACACCAGCTTCACGGACGCCCTAGCGCTGCGCACATTCGCATGAAAAGTTGGCAGCAACTTCAAGGATGGAGGGCGGGCGGCTTTCAAAATGGGGCTCTCGCCTTAGCACCGCGTGCACTTGTATCAAGAGTTTGCAACCGTTTCAAAGGTGGATGGCGGGTGGCCTTCAAACTGTGGCTCTCGCACTGGCGCTGCACACATTCGGTTAAAAATTTGCCACAGCTTCAATCATGAAGGGCGGCTCCTTTTCAACCTGTGGTTCTCGCCCTGGCGCCGCGCGCGTTCGTCTTGAAAGCTTGCAACAGCCTTACGGCTTCGTACTGTTGAAGTCCCAGGTTCGGTGTGCTGGCACGGTATACGACTGCTCAGACGCAACAGTCACGTGAGTTCGCGGTGTTGCAATCCCAGGACCGATGTTCTGCCAAGATTTGGGGTTGCCAGGTCGCAACAGATGTGCTGATTCGCGGCGTTGAATTCCCAAGCATGGAACTTGGGCGCGGTTGGGGTTCTCAGACGGTTGTCTTCCAATGGGGCAATTCCCCCCCCGTAAGCAAATTCTTGTAGGGGCTTGTGAAGAGGGAGCTTGGACGGAAGGTTCATGTCAGCATCGTTGCTGCGTCTTGGGTCTACGCTGGTCCTCCTCCTCCTCCTCGTCCTCTTCCTCCTCCTCCACCTCCACCGCCCTATCCTCATCTTGTCCATCCTCACCTTCCTCCTCATCCCCCCTCCTCCTGCTCCTCCTCCTCCTCCTCCTCTCAACCCTCTTCTCCTCCTGCCCGTCCTCCTCCGCCTCCCCCTCGCCGCCGCCGCCGCCCTCCCCAGAAGGGCGCGCGCCTGCCGCTGGTTCGCCTTCGAGTGGGCGCGCAGCCCGTGGCCGTCGAGGCCGACGGCCTCCGGCGGCGGACGCACACGCACCGCTGGCCGCCGATCGTCGCCGCCGCCGCCGCCGCCGTCACCGTCGCCATCGACGACGACGACGACGACGACGACGACGTCGCCGTCGACGTCGGCGCCGCCGCCGCCGCCGTCGTCGTCGTCGTCGTCGTCGTGGTCGTCGTGGCCATCGTCGTGGTCGTCGCGGTCGTCTTCGTCTTCGTCGCCTTCGACGCCCTCGTCGTCGACGTCGTCGCCGTCGCCGACGTCGACGTCGTCGCCGTCGTCGCCGCCAGGGGCCGTCGTCGGCCTCGGAGGCCGCACGGTGCCCTCAGAGGCCATCGAAGACCTTCGGGGATCGTCGCCGCCGTCGTCGTCGCCGTCGTGGTCATGCGTGGTCGTCGTCTCGGTCGCCGTCGTCGTCGCCGTCCCCCTCCGTCCCCTCCCCGTTCCCTTCCTTATCCTGATCTCTTATCAGCTCATGATTAGTCCTGATTTGCCGCCCCCCGGCTGGCCGATGGCGAACCCGTGCGGGAGGACCCATCCTATCTGCCGGGGAGCGGTTCATAAGTCAGCCCGCTGACTCGTTCGACGAGGCCGCCAGCTTGACTAGTACAGCGGAGGCCAGTCCACAAGAAACCCTCCACGAGAAGCCCAACCCTGAGACCCCAGGACGTCCACTGATTTCTGGTGTGGGAACGTCACGCTTGACAACGCAAAACCCTCTAAACTCAAGAAATTCATGGCACCCTGGAGGCAAGCAGGGTGTTTCTTGGCATGATAATCCACTGTATATAAGATGTAGGCTGGTGAAGCTCTGTCAATGCACGGAGCGCCTGCGAGGGCCCACGAACTCTCTGCGGACCCGCCCCAGGAGGGTGCACCCGTAGCATCCGCGCTGACCCAGGCAGGCTAAGAGAGCTGCAATATCAATGCCTGGTCAGTTCTGAATGACAGCATTCTTGCTGTGGCAGCTCTGCCACACATGCACGCCGGGAGGACGAGCGAGGAACCTCGGTCAGCCATGACGACCGAGCCCGCCAACTAGAACAGAAAAGAAACCTGGCCGAGACTCTGCAAGGACCTCCGTCCCAGTAGACCCGGGGGCACAGCAGGAGCCCCACACAGCTTGCCCCCCGTGAGGTGGCTGTGGCTGCCGAACCAAACCATCCTCCGTCGCTGCTTTCGCCTCCTCCTCATTCTGGCACACCCACCCAGCCGTACATCCACCCCTCGCTGCCACCCTCACTCGGGCGTTGGCAGAACTGGGTTTCGCAGAACCTGGTTTAGTGACTTGTGCCAGGGGCGCCCCCCCGTCCCATTTCCACTAAGCGGGAACTGCCGTCGCCCGAGAAACACCAGTTACGGCAAACCTGGCTTAGTGAATCTGGCCAATTGAGGGGCCCCAGGGCCCTACCACTAACCGGGTCCCCTTACCCGGGGTCCTGGCTATACCCGACTCACGCCCTCGCCCTGTGCCGGCCACGACCACGACCACGACCACGACCCCGACCCCGACCCCAACGACCGCGACGACGACGGCGGCGGCAACGACGACGACGCCACCGCCGCCGCAGCCGCCGACGCTGCCGCAGGCCCACAGACGCCGACCCCGTGACATCGGACGCTGCAACAAAGTTGCAGCGTCGCGGAGAATCGCGCCCGGAGCCCGGGGCCTCATCTTTCTGCGTCACTTCTCTCGAGCCCGATCGGTCTGTGAGGGTCCAGGGGTCCGAACTCGAGGGAAAACGCCCGGTGCAAAACAATTGCAACGCCCAGTCCTCCTCCTCCTCCTCCTCCTCCTCCTCCTCCTCCTCCTCCTCCTCCTCCTCCTCCTCCTCCCCCTCCCCCTCCTCCTCCTCCTCCTCCTCCTCCCCCTCCTCCTCCTCCCCCCTCCTCCTCCTCCTCCTCCCCCTCCTCCTCCTCCCCTCCCCATCCTCCTCCTCCTCCTCCTCCTCCTCCTCCTCTCGGGGGACGGCGGGCCGCGGGCCGGGGCCGGGGCCGGCCTCCGGCCTCGCCCTGGGCAGGCCCGGCAGGCGCATACCGTGGCGGGCCGCGCGCCGCCGCGGCCGCGGGGGGGCCCTGGCGGGGGCACGTCGCAGCGCCCTGGCGGGGTCCCTCCGGCGGGCCGCCGCGGAGGCCGTCGGCATCGCCGTCGCTGCCGCCGTCGCCGTCGCCCTCGCAAGCGTCGTCGTCGTCGTCGTCGTCGTCGTCGTCGTCGTCGTCGTCGTCGTCGTCGTCGTCGTCGTCGTCATCGTCGTCGTCGTCGTCGTCGTTGTCGTCGTCGTCGTCGTGGTGGTGTGGGTCGTGGTGTAGGTCGTCGTCGTCCATCGTCGCCGTGTTGGATCGTCGTGTAGATCGTCGTCGTCCATCGCCGAAGGAGAGGCGGGGGCGGAGAAACAGGTCTCCAGAGGTATTCCAGAGCAGTCGGGCGCATCCAAAAAGGTTTCCGGATGCTTCGGAGCATTCTGGAGGTGTGCGGCGGTTGTCGGAGGCTCTCCGACGGTTCCGGCATGGTTTCGGAGGTTTCCAGAGGTCGCCGTCGTTATGTGCCAAGTATTGGCTCATGAGGAGAATACTTCTAATAAAATGGCGCTTTGCGCCTTCAGTGATGCGTTCTGGGTTTACGCTGGTCCTCTTCCTCCACCTCATCCTCCTTCCTCCCTCCCTCTTTGAAATAACTTCTAATCGCCGCAAGACCGGGGACGTATCGGTTGTGCGGGCCGCCGAACATGTCGCCTGAGACATCACAAGCGGCTAGTACTGCCACCTGGTGATGATGACGACGCTGGTGATGATGAACGATGGCGATGATGAGTATCATGGTGATTGGTATGACGATGGCAATGGTGACGATGGCAACGATGACGCTGGCGGTGATGACGACGAGGGTGTTTACGAGGACGGTGATATATGCACTTTCGCAGAAATTCGGACTGCACGTTTTATATCGGACAGCCACTGGGCTCTCACACACTCTTGGGCACCACCAGTGTACATGTCAAGCCGCTGGTGCTGCAGTGCGCGCGCGCGGAGGTGCGCGCGTGGCCTGCGTGGTAGCAGCTGTCCGAGCTGGCGGGTGTGAAAGTCTTGTTTTGTGTGTGTTTGTGTGTGTCTGTGTGTCTGTGTGTTTGTGTGTGTGTGTGTGTGTGTGTGTGTTCGACGTGCGCGAGCTTGCGGCCCACGTGGTCCTTTCACAGAACGGAGCGATTCAACGATGGTGCCCTCATGATTCCAGCGAGTGCGCGCACAGACGCGTTGCACCCTCTACTGGAAAGCGATGCCTGTTGATGGTGCATGTAGAACTGAACTGGGAGCTGCTGGGCTGTGCAAGAATTTGACGTGCGCGCGCAAATGTGGTCCGCGTTTTTCCTGCGACACGTATTTTTACAATGAATACGTGTTAGATCACCGCGTGGCCCCTCATGCTATGACAAGGAGGAGTTCGGGCGGGTATCAGCCCGTGGCCACATAGGGAACTCCACCGAAGGCTCCACTGGGACCGCCCGCGTGCGTCATCCACCACCCAGCACAGCATTTCGTGGCCCCACACAGAGTTCCACCGAAGGCTCCAGTGGGACCGACCACATGCGCCATCCACCACCCAGTACAGCGCTTCGTGGCCCCATAAGGAGCTCCATCGAAGGCCCCAGTGGGACCGCCCGCATGCGTCATCCACCACCCAGCGCAGCGCTTCGTGGCCCCATAGGGAGCTCCACCGAAGGCTCCAACGGGACCGCCCGCATGCGTCATCCACCACCCAGCACAGCATTTCGTGGCTCCATAGGCAGATCCACCGAAGGCTCCAGTGGGACCGCCCGCATGCGTCATCCACCAACCAGTACAGCGCTTCGTGGACCCCTTAGGGAACTCCACCGAAGGCCCCAGTGGGACCGCCCGCATGCGTCATCCACCACCCAGCACAACGCTTCGTGGCCCCATAGGGAGCTCCACCGAAGGCTCCAGTGGGACCGCCCGCATGCGTCACCCACCGCCCAGTACAGCGTTTCGTGGCCACATAGAGGGCTCCACCGAAGGCCCCAGTGGGACCGCCCGCGTGCGTCATCCATCACCCAGCACAACAATGACCCCGTAGGGGGCTCCACCGAAGGCCCCAGTGGGACCGCCCGCCTGCGTGATCCACCACCCAATACAGCGTTTCGTGTCCCCACAAGGAGCTCCACTTAAGGTCTCCGTGGCGGAACTCGCATGGCGGCCCAGTGGCGGAATTCGCATGGCGGCGACTTTCGATTTCCGGAGGTTTTTCGTCGTATTCGACGTGTTGAGGCAGCTTTCGGGCCGCGCATCCCGAGCGGGAGCCAGCCTGCTCGCTCTTTCTGCTCCGCGTAGCGGACGACCCGCGCGCGTCGTCGGGACCCCTTCAGGGTGACCAGCGCGCGTCGCAGGGACTCCGTGCGGCGCCGCGCCTGCAGCCTTGGACGTGGGCGTGTACGGGCAAAGAGGGAGAAGAAGAACGGGAAGGAAGCGGGAGCGATCATCGTGAGAGGCGCGCCGACATGGGCGTCGACATTTATGCACGTAGACTCACGCGCGCGCAGGCTCATCCACAATCAGACTCACTCGCTCTCAGTCTCTCGCACACAGACCTATCGTTTTCGCTCGCGTCGTGTGCCCCGCCACGCATGTCGGCACGCCCCTTGCACGGTTCGTGGCTCCATGGGGAGCGCGGGCGAAGATGATATTCATAATTGCGGTATTGACAGCTGCATATGGTTGGGTCCTTCGCCAGGCTAATTTTTTATGAGCGACCGTGCAGACTAAATCCCAGCAGCTCTCTGGGCGGACGTGGTTTGGAACGTCTCTTATTGCAACCCTCTTTTTCCCCTTCGGGGAGGGGTTAGCTACCCCTCCCCCTCCCCCTGGATCTGGCCAGGGCGCCCCGCGACCGGTCGGAGCGCCCAAGATGGCCCCAGAGAGCCCAAGATGACTTCCAAGATGGCTTAAGAGATCCGAAATGCCTTAAGATGGCCTCCGATATGCCTCCTGGCGGCCCAAGAGAGCCCCAAGAGGGGCCGAATATGGCCCCAAGACGGCCCCGAGGGCGCCCCAAGAGCGCCCCGAGAGGCGACGCCGGGGCTCTAAAGGAGCGGGGCTAACACTAAGGAACCCCCCCTTCTGTGATCGATGTCGTCCAAGCTGGCCCCGAGAAAGGCCCCCTAGAGGACCGCAAGACGGCCCCGAGTGGGCCCCTTAGGCGTTGGACATTGCCCCAATGGGGGCCCGGAGATGGCCCAGGCAAGCTGCCAAGAAGCTCGCCGGTCGAAAGATCCGCGAAGGCATTGATGGCTACACTAACTGCTCTAACTCCTGGGCTTGCTCAGGCAGGTCTCGATCTTCCGTTTGACGGCTACCCCCCATCTTTGTTCCACTGCGTTCTCCCGCGCTTCCCTGATCAACGCGGCTCGTCAGGCCATCGCTGTTGGATGGGCTGGTGGGGATTTTTCGATCGCGAGCGCAAACGGAAGTGCCGCGCGCCGCCCAGAGCTACAGCTAACAAGCTGGAGCCTAAATTGCACACGAGAGAAAGGAAAAGAGAGACAACAAGAGAGAAGAGAGAGAGAGAGAGAATAAAAAAAAAAAGAGAACAGCGGGAGGTGAGACTAGCCGGGGCGGGCCGCGCGGCGCTCACGGAGGGGGTGCCATACGGCGCAGAGGGCGCCTGGGGGCGGGCACGGAACTGTGAGATCGTCAGAGAACTGCAGTGGCTGCAAGTGCTGCCCCCCAGGCCTCGCAGGGCGTTTCGCCAAGCCTTCCCAGCACACCGAGGGCGATCAGGGGGGTCATCGGAGACGTCCCAGAGACCCCCAAGACACGACAAGAGCGCTCCAAGAGTGACCGACGCGACCTCAAGATGGCCCAAGAGGTCTCCAGGACGGCCCCAAAGAGGCCTCCAAGAGCACTCCCAAGAAGGCCCCCAGAGGCAAAAATCATTGATTTTCTGCTGGTTATGGGGGAAGTTTGGGGTTCTCCTCTTTTCGGCTTCGCGACGCTCCAAAACGGCGGTCTTCTGGGCGTCCGAAACCGCCTGGGAGGCTCCCAAATCGCCCCACAACCATCCGCAAGGGCTTCCAGGCAGTCCAAGAGAGCCCCCAAACGGCACAACGCGGGTCCAATATGGCCCTCAGAAGGCCCCATGGCGGCCCAAGATGGCCCCAAGACACCTTCCGAAGCATTCCAAATCGTGACCCGGTCGTTCAGGGAGACCGCGGTTGGAGGAAGGGTGGCCCGAAGAAGCCCCCAGAGGCCCCCAGAATACGCCCAGGAGGCCTCCGGAAGGCCTTAAGAACGCCTGAAACAACTTTTGTGAGGACCCCTGAGGCTCTCCAAGGAGGAGCCTCCGCAAAAAAGAGCTGAGGAGGATGGGCAGAATGCGCAGGGTATGGCGAAAAAAAGAAGCATGGAAGAAGGATAACGAATAACATGATTATAGCGGCGATGCTGGAAAAGGCAACATATCGCTAAATTGTTGGCTTGTTCTTCCTGATATTCCGCCTGCATACCAAACTTCAAAAACCGAGGTGCATGGCGCGAAGCGCCACTGCAGTCTTGTATATGTGTACGTATATATATATATATACACATACATATCTATATATACACACACACACACACTTCCATCGGAGAGAGACGGGGGGGGATGGAGAAGCCGAGCAGAAGGAAGAATGAGGATGGATGAGGAGGATGGGCTAGAACGAGAAGCGTCAAGCGAGGACCGAGGAGCGAGAAGTCTGAGGAGAGGAGAGTGAGGAGCAGTAGGAGAAGGTGGTGAGGAGGGGGAGGAGCAAATGGGAGCCTGGGGAGGAGGGACGACGAGGAGGAGATTTTCGGAACCGTCCTCGGGGGGTCATACGAGTGGGCCTTCGATGCCGTTGATACTTTCGGATGGCTTCGGGGGGCTCTGAGGAGGTTGTCGGAAAATTGACACGGAGGAGGACGGGAAGAGGAGGAGCCCTCTCTTCTCCGTCCCGGAGCTGAGCCACCAGAGCAATCCGTGAGCGCGACGCGGCGTGCCCTCCCGGCGAGCCGCGGGGCGCGGGAGGGGTACGAGGGACGGGGAGGAGGGGGGAAGGAACACCAGACCCAGAGATCCGATGTCGTA